ATAGTGAGACCCCGTCTCTACAACAAATGTTTTTTAAAAAAAATTAGCACCATTCCAGCTGGGCATGGTGGCACATGTCTGTAGTCGCAGATACTTGGGAAGTTGAGATGGGAGGATCACTTGAGCCCTGGAGGTCAAGGCTGCAGTGGGCCATGAGTGCACTACTGCACTCCAGCCTGGGCAATAGAGTAAGACCCTGTCTTGAATTAACTTATTAATGAAAATAAAAACTGAATATGTTATGTGGTTTTCTTGTGTTACTGCTTTTTAAATAGAGAATGCACCCTCTTAGTGCCAAAATCTAGTTTTGCCTCAATTGCATCTGGAAGAGTCTCATGAGATCTAGTAAAGTATATATATTTTAAAAAAAGAGTGAGAGTAAAATAAAAGTATTCAGCATTATTAAGATGAAAAAAAAAAAAATCAGAATGTGGCCAATGCGGTGGCTTAGGCCTGTAATCCCAGCACTTTGGGAGGCTAAGGCAGGAGGATCACTTGAGGTCAGGAGTTCGAGACCAGACTGGCCAATGTAGCGAAACCCCATCTCTACTAAAAAAATATATAAAAATTAACCATGCATGGTGGCACACTTGCCAGTAATCTCACCCACTCGGGAGGCTAAGGCAGGAGAATCGGTTGAACCCAAGAGGAAGAGGTTGCAGTGAACAGATTATGCCACTGCACTCCAGCCTGGTTGAATGAGTGAGACCTTGTCTCAAAAAATAATAAATAAAAAGATTTAAAAATCAAATTTACCTTTAAATTCACCTAAACTGAAATTTTAATTCCCCTAGAACCATATCTACAAATTTTTAGTGTTACTTTGGAAAGGGAGATTCAGGAAAGACTTTCTTAGACTTATTTTCCAGGCAAGGTCTCACTCTGTCACTCAGGCTATAGTGTAGTGGTGCAAACACAGCTCATTGCAGCCTCGACCTCGTGTGCTCAAGGGGTCCTCCTGCTTCAGGTTCCCAAGTAGCTAGGACCTTAGGGGTATGCCACCACACGTGGCTCTTTTTTTTCTTATTATTTTTTGTAGAAATGGGCTCTCACCATGTTGCCTAGGCTGTCTCAAACTCTCAGGCTCAAGAGATCCTCTGGCCTCAGCCTCCCAAAGTGCTGGGAAACAAGTGTGAGGCACCGTGCCCGGAAAGGAAAAACATTTTTGACCTGGAGAGGACTGTAAAGAATATTCGACCTAACCACATTTTCTAGATGAAAAAGATGCTGAGAAATGCTGAATTGTGCACTCAGGTTCTTCTGACTGATTAGAGTGGAACTGGCTCATTTGGACACAGTGAAGCCTATTGATTAAGTTGTTTTGCTTCTTCAAAGGACTGTCAGGATCATCAAACATTGAGTAGTCATTTTAAAGATCAGAAGCAGTGGTGGAAAAATCCAGCTTTGAGGTTTTATAGGACTTCACTGAGAATAAAGTCTGAATGAGAGAAAGAGCCCCTTCCAGCAAAGCTTCCCTCCACTGCTCTCCTTGTTTTGGAGGTCAACACGTACGTAAAAAGGACATGAAATATAAAGTAAACTTGAGAGAGCCACATCACATGTATGGCCAGATGTTGGTGTTCTTTGAGCTGAGTGGAAGTGTGGCCAGTGCTGAACTGCAGTAGTGTGCTCTGGCTCCACCACTTCAGATACAGATTACTATGCTTCTCATGTTTTCAATTTTCTTTGGAATTTTAACATTTGTGGTCATAAAATTACTGGTCTTTTTTATTTCTTATAAAAGACTTCATTCTGGCCTGGCGCGATGGCTCATGCCTGTAATCTCAGCGCTTTGGGAGACTGAGGCGGGCAGATCATGAGGTCAGGAGTTCGACACCAGCCTGGCCAATGTGGTGAAACCCTGTCTCTATTAAAAATACAAAAATTAGCCAGATGTGGTGGTGTGCACCTGTAGTCCCAGCTACTTAGAAGGCTGAGGCAGAAGAATCATTTGAATCTGGGAGGCAGAGGTTGCAGTGAGCCGGGATTGTGCCACTGTACTCCAGTCTGGGCGACAGAGCGAGACTCCAACTAAAAAAAAAAAAAAAAAAAAACTTCATTCTGACTGATATACTTATTTGTTTATAGAGCCATCTTTTTCTCAGAGATAGTTTTCTTACAGAATTACATATGGTATTTTCTTTTTTTTTTTTAAGACGGCGTTTCACCATGTTGGTCAGGCTGGTCTTGAACTCCCAACCTCTGGTGATCTGCCTGCCTTGGCCTCCAAAGTGCTTGGATTACAGGCGTGAGCCACCATACCCGGCCAATTATGATATTTTCATTGTACAAAATTTAACTCTAAATAGTTTCTACGCTGGAGTAAAGAAACATGATCCAGTTCTCCCTTAACACTACAAAGGTAACAACATGTAAAGTTAGACTACAAAAATATTGCTAGCAAAGGTGGGTGAAGCGTGTGAGGCACAGGGATGGTTTCTGCTGTTTTAATCACGGTAGCAGATAATTATTTGGGAAGTATTGTGTATGACTCCTCAGCAGATAATTATTTGGGAAGTACTGTATATAACTTCTTTATTCCTTTTCCTAAGAGATACTCTCTGCTTTTATTTCCTTCTGACCTTCTGTAAACAGAAAAAGATTGTTCTAATTGCGTGCGAGCTTTTTTGGAGATTAGTGTGACCTGCATCATATCTGGGATAGAGGCTTTGCTTACAGTGCCTGATTTGTTCTTCATAAGTCCCAAAAGTGTGGAGGTCACTGTTTAAACCTTTTTTGATTTTTTTGGTTTTTGTGTTTTGAGACAGAGTCTCACTCTGTCGCCTAGGTTGGAGTGCAGTGGCATGATCCCAGCTCACTGCAACCTCTGCCTCCCAGGCTCAGGTGATTCTTATGCCTCAGCTTCCTGAGGAGCGGGGATTACAGACACCTGCCACCACATCCAGCTAATTTTTGTGTTTTTAGTAGAGACGGAGTTTCACCATGTTGGCCAGGCTATTCCCGAGGTCCTGACGTCAAGTGATTTGCCTGTCTTAGCCTCCCAAAGTGCTGGCATAACAGGCGTGAGCCAGTTCGCCCAGCCTAGCCCTTTTTTGTTTGAACTATGTGGCTTACATGGCCTTTTTTCTTGCCCTGTTCTTTGACCAGACTCTGTATTGTAGCTTACATGAAACTAATGATTTCAGCAGTAGGTTTTAGGTCAGGCCAGTTTTTGGTGAATAGCTAATTATTAAAAAATTATTTTATGCTGAGCTTAATACCTAGGTGATGGGTTGATAGCCACAGCAAACCACCGTGGCACACATTTACCTATGTAACAAACCTGCACATCCTACACATGTATCCCAGAGCTTAAAGCAAAATAAAACAATTGAAAATTTTTTTTAATTTTTGTTATTTTAGCTAAGAACATCAAATAATTTTCACTATTAATCTCACATAGTCATGAGTGAATATATTTGCCTAATATTCTTCCTTTTGTGTTTAAAAATTTAGATACTAAGTAGAAATTACATGTTAATGTTTATATCACAAAGTATTTAGTAAATATTTTGTGAATAAATACACTTCATTTTGGTTTAGTCTAAAACAAGTTAGGATCTCTTCTCACTGGTAATAGGAATTTTAATTTTGTTTGGTACAATGTAGACATTTTTCTTTTTTTTTTTTTTCTTTTTTGAGACAGAGTCTTGCTCTGTCGCCCAGGCTGGAGTGCAGTGGCACGAACTCAGCTTACTGCAATCTCTGCCTCCCAGGGTCAAGCAATTCTCCTGCCTCAGACTCCCAAGTAGCTGGGACTATAGGCGTGCACTATCATGCCCAGCTCATATTTGCATTTTTAGTAGAGATGGAGATTCACTGTGCTGGCTAGGCTAGTCTGGAATTCCTGACTTGATGATCCGCCCACCTCAGCTTCCCAGAGTGCTGGGATTATAGGTGTGAGCCACTGTACCTGACCTTTTTTTTTTCTTTTGAGATGGAGTCTTGCCCTGTCGCCCAGGCTGGAGTACAGTGGTGCAATCTTGGCTCACTGCAACCTCTGCCTCCCGTGTTCAAGTGATTCTCCTGCCTCAGCCTCTCAGGTAGCTGGTATTATAGGCACCTGCCGCCTTGCCCAGCTAAATTTTGTATTTTTAGTAGAGACAGGGTTTCACCATGTTGGCCAGGCTGGTCTTGAACTCCTGACCTCAGTTTCCCTTATAATATTAACCACTGTTTTATTGTGTGCCAGGTAATGTGTTAAGCATTTTGAATGTATTACCTCATTTAATCTTTCCAATAACACTATGGAAAAAGTGATAAATACTCTCTTTCACAATGATAAAACTAAGATAAGAAGCATCCTCAGGCCTGGTGCAGTGGCTCACACCTGTTACTGCAGAACTTTGAGGTGGGAGGATCACTTGAGCTCAAGGCCAGACTGGGCAACATAGGAAGACCCCTGTCTCTACAAAAAAATTTAAAAATTAGCTGGGTGTGGAAGTGTACACCTGTGATCCTGGCTACTGATCCTGCCTATAATCCCAACACTTTGGGAGGCCGAGGTGGGAGGATTGCTTGACTCTAGGAGTTCAAAACCAGCCTCAGCAACATTGTGAGATCCCATCTCTGCAAAAATTAAAATAATGAGCCAGGTGTGGTAGTGCACACCTGTGGTCCCAGCTACTTGAGAGGATGAGGTGAGAGAATCACATGTATCCAAGGTGGGAGGATCACTTGGACCCAGAAGGTGGAGGCTGCAGTGAGCCAAGATCACACCACTGCACTGCAGCCAGAGAAACAGGGAGACCCTGTCTCCAAAGAAAAGAAAGAAGCATGCTCAGTGTTACATCACCCTAATCAGGGCAGAGCCAAGGCACAAACCCAGACCTGTCTAATTTTAGACCCCCTGTAGTTTGTCTTCACTTGCCTTGAAACTTTGACGTAATTTGGTGCCTCATGTTAAAATAACTGTTTAATAATAAAATGGTATTAAGTAGCATATAGCATGAGAGCACAAATGTCTAAGAAATCGATTTCTCCACCTGTACTTCACTCAGGAGGAAACCCTGCACAAGTCGACCAGCAGCAGCAGCGTGTCTCCCTCTTTCCCTGAAGATCCAGTCCTGGAGGCCATGTCCACGAGGAAGAGTGAGTAGTTGTGGTGCAAAGATCGAGAGTCAGATATCTTATTACAAAACACACTTGACCTAGAGCAAGGATTCCAGAGTACCTTGTGATCATTTGGGGTAGAAAGAACTAACTCTGGCATTTCACTGATCAGGAGATGAAATACTCATTTTCCAAGGGTGTCATCATAAGGTAGGGCTAACCTGTTCACCAGGCCTCAGGGTCTTATGACAGAGCAGGCACATTAGTTTTTATGAACAATAGTCATGGGAAATATATAAATCAGTTGTATGTGTTTTGTTTTGTTTTGTTTTGTTTTAGATAGAGTACCTCCTTGGCTAAATTTAAACCAGAAGCCCTAAAAAACCATATTTATTATCACTCCACCTACGACCCACAGACACCCATATTCAAAAACCTGTGTAGATAGTGAAAACATATTTATAAATCTTTAGGAGATAGTTTCTGAACACAGATATCTAAAGTTAAGGGATTTTTAAAGCCTTTTAATAATCCTTTTCATTTATAAGATCATTATGAAGGATTAAAAATTATATATTGGCTTGATTTCTCATATGCAAAAATTCTTTAAGTAGTGTTTTTATTATTTACACAGATTATATAAAAAGTAGTCAGTGCTGGCTAGTTATCCACAATTGGTATTTGACCAAGCCTATTAAATATTGTAGGGACCCAGTTGGATCACATAATGGAATTCTGTATCTTTTCTGGACTGTGGAAATTATATCTGTATTTTCCTTAGTGGTTTCTCTTGGTGGGGCGGTCTAAATGGATGGATCATATGTAACTTTGTGTTGACTCTCACTTTCTACACCCACTACATTTTAGCAGCTCTGCTTTGTACATAGAGTAGGAGGAAGCACTAAATAAAACTCTGGCACCGTAATTTATTTCTAATGTTCTCCTTAAGTTCTCAAAAAGTGAATCCAGAACCGTTCAGATGCTAAAGCATTCTCCTTTTAAACACTATCTTAAAATGTTACTAGGCAGAGGAGGACAGTGGTACAATATTAACATCAAAGCTGAAGCCTACTTTTTGCAGTTTAAATACAGTTTAATATAAACTTAAAAACAAAATGTCTTGGTAAACGTAGAAAGAAGGGTGTCCTTTATTTTATCTTTAAAAAGAGAATGTAAAAAGAGGGTACACTTGAAAATTTTTGTATGATTTGTGAATCTTTCTGGCCACACCTAACATTCTTCCTTTTTTCTTGCTATTTCTTTAGCAAATTTACTTTGCAAAGATTCTTCTGTAACAGTCCTCAGAGTCTGCTCCTAAGGATTACCATTGCCATCTTAAAATAGCTCTCCAATGAAATAAATAATTCATCTTCAAATACCGTGTTTGTCACAAATGTCAAAGGGTTTTGTGTTAGAAAATTCACAGTGAGTTTTATTTCATTTGGTTAAATCTTTAGAGCCTCCAAAGTTCCTGCCCATATCATCAACACCCCAGCCAGAGAGACGGCAGCCACCCCAGAGACGACATTCCATTGAAAAGGAAACGCCTACTAACGTGAGGCAGTTCCTGCCTCCTTCCAGGCAGAGTTCCCGCTCTCTTGTAAGTACAGGAAAGACCACTAGTAACTTAGGGATCAAATAGAAGACCTAAAGTCGATAGCTTTCTTATGAAGATGATAAGGAGAAAAGAACTTGCAAAAGTTAGAATGAACTTTGAATAACTTACTTAATAGCTAAAGAAAACAAACAGCTGTGCATAGTGGCTCATGCCTGTAATCCCAACACTTTGGGAGGCCGAGGTGGGAGGATTGCTTGACTCCAGGAGTTCAAGACGAGCCTCAGCAACATCGTGAGATCCCATCTCTACAAAAATTAAAATAATGAGCCTGGTGTGGTAGTGCATACCTGTGGTCCCAGCTACTTGGGAGGATGAGGTGAGAGAATCACTTGTACCCAAGAGGTTAAGGCTGCAGTGAGCTATGATTGTACCACTGCACTCCAGCCTGGGCGACAGAGTGACACCTTGTCCAAACACTATCAGTAACTTAAATGAATCTTGACAGTGTTTGTTCATTTTGAGCTCTTTTTTTCCTCCAGAAAATTTATCAGTGGTTGAAAGTATGGTTTATTACTAAAGAAATGCTTGCTTTCTTTCAAATGCTATAAAAATTGTTAAAAATTGACCAAAAAACTCTTAGCAAAATGACTACAGTAGATGATCTTATTGAGGCAAAAGTACAAGAGGGAGAATTTTGATCCATTAATAACCACTGTACCTTGTTTTCTAGTATGTTTTGTGATATTTGGGGCCAGTAGTGTTATTTTGGTGGAACTGGTTAACAGTTTTTGCTGTTTTCCAGAGACTTGCAGGTTCTTACAGTGGGTGCCCATTTCTCAGGACAGTGGACAGCACACAAGGGTCTGCCAGGAGGAATTAATAGATCTCCCAGCCAAAGGAGTTCTCCAAAGACACTTTTGTAGCCCCACTTGGCTTCTGAAATATTTATAGGCAAGATGCATGGCTACAATTAATATTCTACCCACAGTCAGATATCTAATGTGTTTTCAAATATTCAAACACAATGTATTCAAACACAAATGTATTCTAGTATTTTTTATTCTAGAATAAAATAATATTCTAGAAAATATTTTCTAAATATTTCTAAAATATTATTCTAGAAAATATTTTGTATTCTAGAAAAAATATTCTAGTATTTTTTATTCGAATAAAAAATACTAGAATACATTTAATGCTTAAGTCCTTTTTTTTAAGGCTGTGATGAATTGTTAGAGTTTCAATTAAAGTAATAACAGATGGGAGATAATGCAGTTATTGTGAAGACAGGATTTTGTTTTGTTTTGTTTTTTTGAGACTGAGTCTCGCTCTGTTGCTAGCTGGAGTGCAGTAGCACGATCTTGGCTCACTTCAACATCCACCTCCCGGGTTCAAGCGACCCTTATGCCTCAGCCACCTGAGTAGCTGGGACTACAGGCCTGCACCACCAAGCCCAGCTAAATTTTTTGTATTTTTAGTAGAGTCAGGGTTTCACCATGTTGACCAGCATAGCCTCCCAAAGTGCTGGGATTGCAGGTGCGAGTCACCATGCCCAGCCAAAGACAAGGATTTTGAACAGAGCTTAGAATGTTAACATTTAGTCAGTTATCTCTATTCGAAAACAGTGAAATTGAAGAACTAATAATTTTATGGCCATACCTGATAGAATTCTTCTAGCTCTAGAATAATCACCAAAACACAGCTATTTGATCAAATTGTAGCCTTGTCAGTGGTTTACCAACAGGAAAACAGAACTCTGACCAGACGGATTCAAACTTAAAAATCCAAAAACTTGTTTTCATGTGAATAAGTTGTTGCTTTTACCAAAATATATCGTTATTATCACAACTTTAAAACACATAAGAGGGGCCAGGCTCAGTGGCTCACCCCTATGATCCCAGCACTTTGGGAGGCCCAAGGAAGAGAATCGCCTGAGGCCAGAAGTTTGAGACCAGCCTGGGCAACTCAATGAAATCTCTGTCTCTACAAAATTTTTAATTAAAAACTTAGATGTTGTGGTGCGTGCCTGTAATCCCAGCTACTCAGGATGCTGCACAGGGAGGGTCTCTTGAGCCCAGGAGTTTGACGCCGCAGTGAACTAAGATTGTGCCACTCCACTCCAGCATAGGTGACAGAGCAATACTCTGTCTCTAAAAAGTGTATATACATATATATACACACATATGTGTACATGTGTGTATATGTGTATGTGTGTGTATGTATATATATGTAAGAGATAATTTGTGTTTTTTTTCATAAGTCTAATTATTAGGGTATTCTCGTCTTCACACAGCTTTTCCTAGAAGCCAGTCTATCATTTAGCTTGTAACTGGCTGTTACGTAATCATACAATGTCATTATTGAGGTTAGACTTAAGTTTAAAATTAACAATGTAAAGGAACTATCAGATTTGCTGTAAAGTAGTTTCAGCTAATAATAGAAGTTATGCTAAGACCTTAAGCCAACACCAAGGGCCCATGAACATGTCTGTTTCTTGGAGCTCTTAGTGTGTGCTTGGTCAGGCCATGCACTGTTACTTTGTGGAGCAGGAAGGAGAGCAAGATAAACTAATTTGCAATCACTGAAGAAGGTCTCGGCAAGCAGGCAGTGGGAGGGCCCCTCTGGTCAGCACTCAACAATGGTCGTCAGACTGAGGGCAAGGAGCAAAGTTCATATAGGCCTCCGAGCACCAGTGGAGACAAAATTAAATGATCTTTCTTGCTAATAGCTTATCTTGGGAAACCCATAAAATCATACCTTGTAGTAACGCCCTATAGCTTGGTAAGTATTGTTTTTATAAGTGTAATTAATTGAAAAATGTAGCTGCATTTTAGAAAACATAGAATCAGTTTGTGTTTATAACTCCTCAACTGAAAATGGCAGGAATGTTTTATTGATTTTTTTTTTTTTTTTTTTTTTTTTTTTTTTTGAGATGGAGTTTCGCTTTTGTCGCACAGGCTGGTGTGCAATGGTGTGATCTTGGCTTACCGCTACCTCTGCCTCCTGGGTTCAAGTGATTCTCCTGTCTCAGCCTCCCGAGTAGCTGAGATTACAGGCATGCACCACCATGCCCGGCTAATTTTGCATTTTTAGTAGAGACAGGGTTTCTCCATGTTGGTCAGGCTGGTCTTGAGCTCCCGACCTCAGGTGATCCACCCGCCTCGGCCTTCCAAAGTGCTGGGATTACGGGCATGAGCCATTGCGCCCAGCTGATTATTTTTATTTTTATTGTATCTCCCTCCCTTGTGATGTGTAAAGTAATTTTTTTCATCATTTGATCAAATAACTGAGGGCGAGTGCTCATCTAGTCTAAAGGCACCTCGTGTTGGCAGTACCTTCCCAAGGCAGGCACAAGTGGCTGCCTGGCACATGTCCTTATGCTTTCTCGGGCACAGTAAGCAGTTGCCTCTGTCCTTCGTCACAACAGGCCCCACTCAGGAAACTCAGAGTGTTCACAGGACTCTAAATTAGAAAAATCCCTGCTGTGTGAACACAGATTCTGCAGGAAAGACTTCGTGATTTCATCACTGATTTATACTTGTGGATGCAGGCATTGGCATGGACTGATCCATCCTTATGGTGTTTTTTGTTTTGTTTTCCTTTTGTGATCTGTAATCACTATGTGTAGTTCATTTGTGTTCAGCATTATTTTCTCCTGTTCTTTTCCCCCTGCCGTTTTCTTTTTCCCTTATCTGTTGTTCAGGTTCCTAGGATAACCAGTGTATGGCCAAGGACGCCTTTCCGACCACTTTTTTCTACCATACAAACAGCTTCTCTGCTCAGCTCTCATCCTTTTGAAGCAGCCATGTTTGGGGTAGCAGGGGCTATGTATTATCTGTGTGAGAGAGCTTTTACCAGCAGGTGGAAATCCTCAAAGGTTGGCCTCTTTCTGCTGGGTCTGGGATTATTTCATTCTCTGTATCTCTGATGGTGACACCTCAACTGTTGCGCTCTCTGAGAATTAACAGCTTAGATAGCACTTTGCTTCCAATCATTGATTCCACTCTTGTGCAGGATGCACTGATCATGCTGTGGTCTCAGTTGAAGGGGAAATAACTGGGAAAGGACAACAAACTAAAAATGCAGCATCAGATAAGAGGGACCTGTGGGTGTTTGTCTCCTCAGGTGATCTAACTGTATAGCAGGGACAGTGCTGCCATCTTTCTCTGTGTGCAGCAGGCAGTCTGAGCCCGTGGAGTGCATTGCTCCTAGGGCCTCCCCCCACCACCAGAAGACTATTTGCTCACTTATTCCGTGGGCAGAGCAGCCTCCTGCCAGGCCAGATAGCCATGGTGGACTCCACCTGCCTGCCACAGACACCTGCATACACAGGACGTGGGCTCAGGAAATCTGTGTGTTCCCAGCACCTGTCATGAAGCTGTGTTATGACAGTCAGGGTGTATGTTACTTCTCTGCAGAGATAAATTTTAAGTTTCCTTTTTATTGATGTGGCTATTTTAAATAGTTCTGCATTACATTACTGTTTTTTGAGGTTTTTTTACACAGAATAATACACCATTATTTGAACCTTCACATTTCTAAGTGAAATAAAAAGCTCTAGGACCACATCAGAACTGCTGCTGCTACCACGTAGCAGGTGTTCAGAGCAGCCTTTGTGCCACAGCAGGCAAGGCCTGGCTCTCTAAGGCCCTGGATTTACTAACCTTGTCCTTGACAGATGACCCTGCAGCTGGTTTCTTGGTTATTCTTTCTTGCCCATCTTAGTATAGAAAGGAGACTCAATGTAAATAAGACATAACACATTTCTTTCTCTGATCTTTGTCATGAAATGCAGGGGAAGTCTCTGTCCTTTTTTTCCTATTTTAGATGTGCCCTTGGTCAGCATGTGGTCAGGTGCCAGGGTGGCTTTTTAACTCCTGTCACTCCTGCCCCTATTGAAGAAACTGCTGGCATTTTATTATCAATTCTCCCCAAACAGAGATACCTGTACACTAAGGCCATATACCACTTTAGGCAAAGAAAGGATTCACTTTGAGTTTTATAGTTGGTTGAGGAGAGTAAACGTAATAGTTGCTATTTTTATTTAAATTTGCCTCTCTTTGGTTTATTAAAAACTCAAAAAGCAATGGTTGTTTTGGGTAATTTTCAAATACCAGTTACTTATTTATGAAGTTTTTACTAATCATGAACACTGTATAAAAGATGACTATTCCCATTTCTCTCTGTGGCACAATAACCAAAATTTTACATTACGCTGTCTCTGTGCTGGCTAACTGACCCCTTTTGAATGGCAAAATATAGCCAGAATAGTATCACAAATACTCAGCAGTTTTAATGACATGAATAGAAGTAAGTTTAAAGTCTTATAGCACGTTATTGTCTTCATTAAAGCTCTCTAAGATTTAGCCTTCCTTTCCTGAATTTGGGAGTCCCATTGACACATGGACAAGCAAGGGAACTAGAGTTGTGCTAGTGTGGTCCTTCCCCCAGCCATGTCTGGCCACTCAGATGGGCCGAACACTTACAGTGGGAGCCCCAGGCAGTGGCGTATTGGGAAAGGGCTCCTGCTCTCACTGCAACCTTGAGTGCCCTCCACATTCCAGAGCACTAGTAGCTCTACAAGACCTGTGCAAGTTTAATTTGGCTTTGGAGATGTCAAATTAATATTTTTATAAACTGAAAAAAAATAATTAAAACTATTCCAGTAACTATCATTTTATGTTGCATTAAAGTTTTGTTGTCCTTGGGAAAACTCCAAAATTAAAACATTAGCATTTGACTGGATGGAAATTATTTCACTAAAGGGTATTCTGCTTGAATGTGTTTTTAAAAAAAGATCAAGAAAACAAACAAAAATCCACTATTTTTAAATTATATCTCATGATGGCTAGGCATGGTTGCTCACAGGTGTGATCCCAGCACTTTGGGAGGCTAAGGCTGGCGGATCACTTGAGGTCAGGAATTTAAGACCAGCCTAGCCAACACGGCAAAGCCCCATCTCCACACAAAAGTAATCCAGGTGTGGTGGTGCGTACTTGTAATTTCAGCTACTCAGGAGGCTGAGGTATGAGAATCACTTGAACCCAGGAGGCAGCGGTTCAGTGAGCCAAGATCGTGCCACTGTTCTCCAGCCTGGGTGACAGAGTGAGACCTTGTCTCAAAAAAATGAAAAAATAAATAAATTATATCCCATGAAGTACTGGATTTTCATGTGGGTCAAAGCAGTGAGTTGAAAGTGTGCTTTGCTAAGCCCTTTTGTGACTCAAGACTGAAGAGAGGGAGGTGCAAGCTGTCAGGTCTGTTGTGCCATGCTAGCGTATCTCTACAAATGAAAAAAATCGCCATCTGCCTGAAGGGTTTACAGCTCAGGTATCTACGTTATAAAGACAGTTAAATTTGGTACTGTTTGCTGTCTTCTTGGCATGCACAAAAGCAAATCTGATTATCTGGTTATTTGCTACATAATAAATCTAGTAGTGTTTACCTGGGTATGTGCTAGACTCCCACGTTATTTTGTTGCAGTATAGCCATTTTGTCATAGTTAGCCATCAGAAAGTATACCCTAGTCATACTCATCACTGATGAATAAAAATAATAGCAAAACTTCTGAAATACATTAAAAGCTGAGAAATGCCATCATTCAGTTGTGTTCAGCTAACACTACTTACTTAGTGCACAGTTTGAATGGCCTAACCTTCAGAAAGGCAGTTTATTGTTCCCAATTAAAGCTACTCTTTTCTGAAGTTGGAGCAAAACAGAGCAGACACGAACACGCCAATTTAATCCTGTCATCTCTGAACGTAGTTCCTGTTTAAAGAGAAAACTGTGATCGTTGATTTTTTAAATGAATATTTTAAGCATCTTAGAGCCTTAATCTTTCTGGATAAACTTACTCACCTGCCCTCTTATACTAATAAGCTCCTCATCTTAAAAATTCAATTGCAGGATTTTTCTGAAAGCATTTTTAAGCAAATATAATTTCCTTAAGTTAGCTTGAACAGAGATGGTTTTGTATGGATTTTTAGTAAAATGCAGTCGTTCTTCAGACTACTTTTTTAAGTAAAATGCTAATGTTTGACAAGTTTGCAACCTAGATTTATTTTTTGTTTTTCTCTGATTGAAAGACAGAAATGATTGTTAAAGCTCTATAAACTGACTGCATTCATAGTCCTATGTTTTCTCACTGGCGTGTTGGATTCCAGAAAGCCTGTGAGCGATGCTGTTGTGTGTGTGTGGGAGTGAATTATAATGTGTTTGTGCTGAGAACATTCAGTTTCAGTGTCACTGCACCACAATGGCCCCTTGCAGCCTGGCAGGGTCCGAATGCACAAGACTGTTCTGTCTTTCTCTGAGATCCACCAATCAAGTGCGGGGCCGGATGGGGAGCAGATGGGCGTGAGGCTCTTATTCAGTGAGATCAGTTACATCAACATCTTCCGCAGCTGCTGGTAGGGAAACCATTAACACAAGACAGCCAACATAAATATTTATTGTGAAATTATTTTACATTTCTCTAGTCTTTCCAGTGCTGACTATCAGCAGTTGTTGAAAGTAAAAACAGAAATCTAGAGAACTGTGGGGCAGCCTGGAGAGACTGCCTTTTGGGTATAAATGGCTCCAGCAGTTTCATGTTCCAGTTTCACTCATACCATTAGAATTTGTAAATGTGTGCTGATGTAACTGATCACTAAATAATGCTTCTCAGTAAAAATTACTAACCATCTTCTTTTGGCTATTCTGGGTACCACAAACCAATTTTAAAAACAGGGCCGGGCTGGCCAGGCACAGTGGCTCATGCCTGTAATCCCAGCATTTTGGGAGGCCAAGGTAGGTGGATCACCTGAGGTCAGGAGTTGAAGACTAGCCTGACCAACCTAAAGAAACCCCGTCTCTACTAAAAATACAAAATTAGCCAGGCATGGTGTTGCATGCCTGTAATCCCAGCTACTCAGGAGGCTGAGGCAGGAGAATCGCTTGAACCTGGGAGGTGGAGGTTGTAGTGATCCAAGATCACGCCGTTGCACTCCATCCTGGGCAACAAGAGTGAAACTCTGTCTCAAAAAAAAAAAAAAAAAAAAAAAACAGGGCCAGGCTGGGCATGGTGGCTCACACCTATAATCCTAGCACTTTAGGAGGCAGAAGTGGGTGGATCACTTGAACCCAGGAGTTCAAGACCAGCCTGGACAACATAGTGAAACCCGATCTCTGCAAAAAGTACAAAAAATTAGCTGGGCATGGTTGCGTGTACCTGTAGTCCCAGCTACCTAGGAGGCTGTGGTGGGAGGATCACTTGAGCCCAGGAAGTCAAGGCTACAGTGAGCCATGATCATGCCACTGCCCTCAACCTGGGTAACAGAATGTGACCCTGCTGCCAAAAAAAAAAGGACCAATGTAGATTTACTTTTTATCTATTGGTATATAGTGTACAACACAACACTAAGTAATGTTTTTTTTATAAGCATAGGAGAAAACTGACATAAAATTGGTTTAGAATAAAATTTTTTTCAATATTTCAAGCATATCTATAGCTTGAAATATAGCCCTGCTTAACAGAATAGTTACTTGAGTCAGAATACCTGAGCAAATGTGAGGAACTTTCATTTATTGGAAATTTCAGTAGATCACTTGGTCCCCAAATGTTTTCTGCCATCTGTAGCCTTAGTGTGATTAGAAATGATGTGGTCCCCAGAGGGAGCCAGCTGTTCCCACAGGTATTGGGAAACCTCTTTTCTTCTCTGAAGCTACTAATCAGGTGTCTGATCTGAAGGAAAATTTTGCGCTTCCAGAACAGGGGGTGGGAGTCTCTTATTCATGTGACATTTTGAATTTCAGGAGGAATTCTGCTACCCAGTGGAATGTCTCGCTCTTACTGTGGAAGAAGTGATGCATATTCGCCAGGTCCTGGTGAAGGCAGAGCTGGAAAAATACCAACAGTATAAAGACATCTACACCGCCTTGAAAAAAGGAAAGGTAGTGCTGTTTAAAGTTGATTGATCAGAAGAGTAGAAGAATGGCTAGTCCCATGCATGGTCTCCTGAAGGAGTTATCTGCTAGCCAGGTGGCAACATATCTTAGAGGGGATTTGGGAGGTGCGATGTTCATATCCTAGCAGACAGCGCCTGTGCTGCCTCGTTCACAAGAGGGGGCATTTTTGTTTTTCCCTTAAAAATCAAAACTGGAAGGCTTTCGAGCAACCATAACAAATAACGATATGCCTTCATAAAGTCGTATGTGCATTTAGTCAGTACACTTTTAAAGGATCTGTAAAGAAAATGTGTCTGAGAAACAAAGGAGGGTTTTTCAGAAACCTTCCATGATGAGGAGAAACTTGAGAGCTGTGGCCTTTTATTATCTTTTGAAATAGAATTATAATTAAATACAGAGCTGCATTATCAGCATCACAGAGCCAACTGTTATAAACGGGATTTCTGAATTATCTTCCTCTTCCTGTCTATTAGCTTCCCCATATATAGATGTTAAGCATATTCAAACATGGATATTAGGAAATTTGCTATTGGCAATGCTTCTTTTTTCCTCTTAAATTTGTGTTTTTTAGCTCTGCTTTTGTTGCCGAACCAGGAGGTTTTCCTTCTTCACTTGGTCCTATACTTGTCAGTTCTGTAAGAGGTAAGGTATTTTGTAATTGATGAAAAGATAAATTTAACAGTTGTAAGAGAATTACCTTCCTTATCTCACCATTTTTCTACACAGGAATAAAATTAGAAATAACCCATTCAGTTGTTACCTTGTGCTATCCTTGCAGGTTCGGAACATTGATTTCCTCAAGAGAGGGAGCCAAACATTTATTTGATATTGAACTTAGAAAATGTTTCTCTGTATGTTATTTATTTTACCTAAGATCATTCTAATAATATGTCATGTTTGAACAGAAAAAAATAAGATGTGATTACTATGCAATTCCCGGATAGACAAATAACAAAATTCCAAACAGATGTAAGTTGGTCATTTTATAGGAGACAATGTAAGAGTTAAGTTCTGTAGATTATCTTTTTGGCAATTTGCAGCGTGTCAGTTTGTTACATTCTAATAGAAGGAGGGAGAGTTTTACAGTTTATTGTAGAAACTTACAACTGTACTGCCATAGGCTTCTCTAACTCTCGGTTGCATCCACTGTATCATACCAAGTAACATTTATGATTTTGTCTACAGGCCAGTGTGCTCACAGTGTTGCAAAAAGGTAAGCTAAGCTTGGTTTAGTTATACTTGTGTTTCTTTTAGTGACTGCCTCTTTAACAGTACTGCTCATTGTCAGTTTTATTTGGGATAATAGATGCGGCTGCCATCCAAGCCATACTCCACTCTTCCTATCTTTTCACTGGGACCTTCTGCTCTGCAAAGAGGGGAAAGTAGTACGAGGTCAGATAAACCCTCCACTGCTCATCATCGGCCACTTCGGAGCATTGCCAGGTAAGCAAGGGGCCTGGGTTGTCAAACCATCCTTTGCAGAAGAAGAGTTCTACTCTTGAGGACTGTGGTTGGGTGTTAGGGTTTAGGCTCAAGGGGTTTTTGTTGGTTAGTTTGTTGGTTGGTTGGTTTTGATACAGTTTTAGACTTGCACACAAATCTCCAAAACTTCCACAAAGGTAACTTTTCAAAGGATAATGGCTAGCCACTTTTGAAGGATACTTTCATCACATAGTTTAAATTTTTTTCTTCTTTAGAAACAACTATTTTACTGTGTCCTATAAGAGTCATCTTTAAAACTGACCTTGTTTTCAATGGAGTTGGAAATTGGAATGTAACAGTCTCATCCTTCTTTCCTCCTTGCCTAGTTTTAAAAGAAATCTGTTTAATCCTTTTTACAATGTTCTGCCATAGCTTTGATTGACTTTACTATTGTAAAGGCAGAAATAAAGCTTTATGCCAAAAGCTGAAAATGAATGAAAAAATACCACCTGAGTATCAGTCCTTTTGCATTTGGTGCAGAGTAAGGTTAGTTCTGGGCCTTAAGAAAGATGGAAGTTGATAGGCATACCCGAATGCGAAGAAGAGAATGAATCCAAGCTGGAAAATACTCTTCAGGATATTATCCAGGAAAACTTCCCCAACCTAGCAAG